AAAAACATAAGATCAGAAAAAGGAGATAAAGTGGTAAATAGAAATGAAATATTTTTTAAAAATAATTTTGATAGGAAGAAAATATGAGCATATATATATATATATATATATATATATATATATAACAAATATAGATATACTAGCATTCAGAGTCCTGGTTTAATAGTACGTAGATTTTATTAATATTAGATTTAGGGCTCTTAACAGTTCACGTATTTTAAATATTTGAAGCTTTAAATCTTAGAGGATTAATATTACATATTTGAGGATTTGGCATCAGGCACTCCGGTGAACTGTTAGTAGCTCTTTTTAATTCGTTGCTGCTTATTGAGCACTCCTGGTGGTGAGCCCTGTTAGGTGGCAGTGATGCACTGATACGTCACTTCCCTCAGGTTGCTGGGAGCCAGAGAGCAGATGTACTCCCAGAAGGTCATCACTTTCTTACTCTTCTCTGCATCCCATACGTCGGGCACTGTGCCTGGCATATTGTGGGTTTGTAAGTGTTCCATGTACAGACCAGAAATAATGCTAAATAGTGTGACATAGAAAATCAACATGAGTACAAAGTAGACTAGGAGGATTAAGAACTAGAAAAAGATAGTTTGTGAACAAAGACATGTGTTTGCATGCTGACCTCTGTATTGTGTTATTGTCTTTTAATCCACTTCTTGCCTGTTCTTTGGTCTGCTCTCATAATCAAGGATCCAGATCTGCTAATCCTGCTGGTGGTAAGCCATTTCTCTTCTTGTTTGTTTGTTGTTTTGTTCATTCTCTCTCACCCATGTTCCTTGCACAATATTAATTTTTATATTATGAGCTTAAATAATCTTTCTGCATTTTTTCTGTATGTTAAAATCTAAAATTTGAAATAGGTTTTCTTTTTCCTTTTACATAGCTTAATGGTTTATGTGTATGCTCAAATTTTATGGGCAAAATGAATGGATCATGAGGTGGCTTCTTCATGGTAATGTGTACTTGTGATTTTTGCAATGAATTTCACTTTAAATTATAGTTAAATCATTATAGAGTACTAATTTTGTGAGTATGCACCTTAATGATTCATTTGAATGGTGTGTGTGTGTGTGTGTAATTTCCAGTTAAGTGTTATTTCGAAGGTTCTACCTTTGGCTCATCGTTACTCTGGTAAATAATAATGTGCACTTTGTTTTAGAATTTTATTGCCTTCTGTACTTAAGCAGATGATCTAAGTAAATTACTGTCATTTGGGTGTATGGATAATTTTGACCCTAAGAAATGGTTATTTAGGTATCTAGTCACTTAGCCATAATAAAAATTACTAAGCATATCATTTGTTTTTATTTTATAATTTATTGCATACATCTCAGAGAATGTGATCTATATGGCTGCTACTTTTGTAGGTTTTTGAGATTTCCTTTGAGGCTTAGTATACAGTTGGTTTTTGTAGTACATGTGTAAAGGTGAAAAACGTGTATTCCGTTTGTTGAGTTACACTTGTGTCTGTGGAAAGTGTTTATATATGTCTGTATAATTTTGACTACTCTGTCAGTTTCTGTGAGTTATGTTATTTTTTTAGTGGTTATTAGTCTTTCTGAGTGGTATATTCATAATTAGGACTTTTTCCATTTCTTCCTGTATTTTTAGTTTTATGTTTTATATTTCAAAGCTATGTTATTTGGAGCATAAAGGTTCATGATTATTATATCTTCATGGACAATTTGTTTATCAATATAATATATCCTTTGTTCTTTTTTTAATGCTGTGTTTTACTCTATTTTGTTGTTTTAGGTATGTTGTTGTTTCTTATAAACAACATACATTTGACTTTTATTTTTTTAAAGCCAACCCAAACATCTTTGTCTTTTAATAGGTGAATTTAATCTAGCCACATTTATTTTTTAAGATTTTTTAAAAATATATTTTTATTGATTTCAGAAAGGAAGAGGGAGGGAGAGAGAGATAGAAACATCAATGATGAGAGAGAATCATTGATTAGCTGCCTCCTGCATGCCCCCCCGCCCCCCGTGCCCCCCATCGAGTTCGCAACCCAGGCATGTGCCCTTGACCGGAATTGAACCCGGGACCCTTCACTCTGCTCTACCCACTAAGCCAGACCGGCTAGGGCACAGCCACATTTATTATGATCACTGATATATTTGAGCTTAGTCCTAGCATCTTCTTTTGTGATTTTTTAATCATGTTTCTATTTATTTCTTCCCCTTCTCCCTTTTCTTCAAATTGTTAAATTAATAGAGTTCTCTTGAATCCATTTTCTATCACGACTGTTTAAGAAATTTTTGTTAACATTTATACTTTTCCAGCAGTTATACTTAAAAATTGTGGCATATCAACTGTCACAGAAAAAAAGAACAAAACACTAAATAAATGCCATTGAGATTATTTCTAGTAATTTTCTGTGGAACAGGGAGGCTATTTGTACTCATCCTGCTTTTTGAGTCAGAAGTTTTGCAGTTATTTTTGTTGCACGGCACCAGTAACTGTCCATGTATATTCTTTTATGATACTTTAATATTCTTTCATGCTCCTAATGTTTAAAAAAAATTAGTACTAACACCAACTACAAAGCTATTTTTATATTTGATCCAAATTAATGTATAAACTGGTTTCTGAAATACTATCATTTATTCCCTGATTATATCCATTATTCAATTTTGTTTTGCTTCATTTTTAGCTGGCAGCCGGTCGAGTTCTCCAGGGAAATTGTTGGGAAGTGGTTATAGTGGCCTTGCTGGGGGTTCCTCAAGAGGCCCGCCTGTGACACTCCCTTCAGAAAAACGAAGCAAGATTCCCAGAAGTCAGGGATGTAGCCGAGAAACAAGTCCAAACCGAATAGGACTAGGTAAGGACTCTCCAAGACCCTGGAACACCATTTCCAACTTGGTCAGAATTTTTATCATAATCCAATACCTTTTCTAATGTGGCAAATAGAGCTTTGTTTTTGAATGGAGGATGCCATTTTGCCCGTGTTAAAAAGACATTTTGATTTGTGCTTTTTATAGATTATGGCATGTTCAGGTTTCAGTTATAACTGAAAAGTGTGTGGGGCTTACCATTTCAGATTGATGAGGAAGAATTGTGTCGTTGTGGGTTTTCGTTTTTTTGAGTCATTTTGCAAAATATTAGAATTGGGGGAATGGGCAGGGTTTTCTACTGTACACGTAGAAGCAATGTTGCTTTTCACTGATTAGCACTAAGTAGCTACTAAGTAGCTATTAACCTAAAATTTCAAAAACAATTTGTAGGGTCCACATTTATTTTGATTCTGATCTTCTCTAATCTAATTGGTGAAAATAGTCAAAAATATATATACTTACTTTTGCCATAGTATTGTTCAAACATAAAATCCAGGACTAGATGGAAATGAAGTATGTAGTATTTGTTTTTGTGTTGTAGTATCAAGTTTCATTGTAATACTGTATAGACCTTTTACCTCTATTAAAAATCTAATTGTACACTGCTTTTTAATATAAAAGGTAGTAGTCTGTTGTAACATATTATGCAAAATGTATGTTCAAACTCTATGTCTTTACCTGCTTTCTAAGGGTAAAAATCTATTAATGTGAAATCAGTGCTATATTTTTTAGTCTTATGGGCTTATGTTTCTTATTCATTTATCTCCTTAACAACTTTTACTTGAATGTTTACTGTGATGTGCAATGTACTTTGTTAGACTTCAGGAATGGAAGTAAATGAAATAGATTGAACTTCTGACTTCAAATAGCTTACGGTCTTAGAGGTGAAAATGTATAGAGTATAACAAATACGATGACGTGGCCCTCTGGGATCCTTCAGCTCGCTTCCCGTGGCGTGGAAGTCCTCAGAATCCCATAGTACTTGCTACCACTGCACCAAGATGTCTGGCTGAGTTTCTGCTCAGTCACAGTTTTACTTGAAAGCAAGAATTGTCCTAGAAAAGCAGTGTGCCCCATTTCTTCCTTAGTTCCTGCTAGGAGAGGTTCCCCAGAGTAGAACCTACTGTGGTGAAGTATAAGGTGGGGAGATGAGGAGAAAGATGCTGTAGGGCAGAGAGGAGCATGTGCAGCAGCAGTCAGACAAGCGGGAGCATAGTGCATCCTGGGTAACACAAGTAATTCATATTTGGCTACAATAACGGAAGTTGGTTAAGGTGGGGTGGGAGATGAGGGCAGAGGGGCTCTTAGCATCCAGCTCATGAAAGTCCTTGAAAGCTACCTGAGCTAAGAGAAGGCAGAGGCAGATATGTAAGAAGTAGAATGCATAGGATTTGACTAACATTTCCAAAGCAGGTGAGAAATGTAACCAAGCAGTGGTTAGTTAATTAGTTAATTCTACATAATGTCAACATAAAGTGGCATTACATAGCATGCTGTCTGAGCTGACAAGTTATTTGGATCCAGTAATAACAAGTAATGTGGGTAAAATTAGAGAAAATAATCATGGCTGGAATATATAAATTTCAGAGTTGATAGTCTAACATGTGTGTTTGGATCTGGTTTTGTTTAAAAAATGCATTTGATTTCAAATCTGGGTGTGAAGATTTAAGCTGTTTTTTTTCCATAGTTAATTAAATTCATAGGATGTTTTGGCAGTCCAGATTAGAGTCATACTTTTAAATTAGGGGTGGGGGAGATTTTACTTTATTTATTAAGGACGCCATTTTTACCTTCTTGAAATTGGAAAATAAATCAACTTTAGTCATCTAACATAACTTTAGGACCTGATTTTCCATGGTCTTAACTATGAAGTTTGTGTTATGGATAGTTGAAAAGACCACATTTAATAAGCTTTTAAAAGAGGTACTATGAAACATCATCCATCAGTAAGAACTAAATAGGAGCCCACTTCCTTCCGAAGAGTTTTTATTTAAAACATTATTTTGAAGCAGATTATTTCCTTGATGCTCCCTCCTTTGGATCATCATGGGAATCAGTTAGTTATATGTCAAGCTTTGAGGTCATACATATAATTCTGAATAAAATAGGTATTTTATTTAAATATCTGCACATTGGGAGAATAAGAACATACACACAGAAATAAAGATCCATATATGAATAAAATGTATCTTCCCATTTCTGCCTGTGATAATCTTAGAGATTCCAGTTCATAGGATGTCAGATATATTAGCATTTTTTTCAGTAATAGGTTGTATATTTCTGTGATCATTTAGTATATACTGGGTATATGCCTGTGTATCTAAATATTTTGTTTATTGCATAGCAACTTTGAATATAAATATTCAAAATAAGAGGGATCATCTTTTAAGAATATTTTATATAATTCCCAAACTAATTAGTAATTTTAATTATAGCTAAGGTAGGCTTATAATTTGCATTGAGAATTGCTTTTAGTTATCTACAAATTATGTTTGGTTCAGCTATATTTTTTTTTTTTGCTTGAAATAATATTTCTTAAGTAAATTTTCTTTTCTCATCTGTGATAAAAATGATACCCAAGCTCTTTTTCATTAGTATTTACTTAAGCAAAATAGGATGCAATTCCAGTAAAATAGCAAAGAAACCAAATAAAACCCTGATACCATGTCTTTTCTTGGCAATTTATTCCTTCATAAACTATTCAACCAAAATAGAAGAATATACTATTTGTGAATTTATTTCATTTTTGTCTTTTATTCTATTTTTGATTAATAATAAAGTCACATAAGTAGCTGACATTCATAGCAATTCTATTTTAGAAGCTTGCCTTTGTTTTTTTTCTTCTCCTGCTCATCTATTAAAAAGGCTAAAAGAAAGATTTGAATTTTTGCAGTTTACATTCTGTGGGTATATGTTTAAAATACTTTTACACTCTCTGCTTTAAAATAGTTTGAAAGAATTAAAAATTAATAATTAACTTCCAGCAGTTAAATTAGACTACTGTGAGCAAGACTAAAACATAATAATATCTAGACTAGGGAGATAGTTTATGTCTTAATTTCTGGTACTTTTCATTATTCCTCTTGTACTCCAAGTTCTGGTAGAATTCTTCCTTAAAAGGCAAAGGTCAGGATTACCCTTAAAACACTATAAAGGTGGAATAAAGCATCTCTCAGGAAATGAAAAACAATCAAATAGTTTCTCAAGGCTTCCCAGCAATTCGTGTGAGCACAGGACGCCGGAGCTGCCTAAGAACGCCGCTTCAGAGCGTTCAGATAGCAAGTATGTTGATCGCTTCTTCCTCTGCGGGCCTTCTCCTCCCTGTGCTCCCATGGAATGTCCCCTTTGGGCACTCGATACAAAGGCAAGTTGATTTGGTGTATTGTTTTTGGTTTTTACCACCTAATTAATTAGTCCTCGTAAAAATGATTTATTTATGTACTTATTTTAAATCCTTCTTATAGATTGGTCTCTGGAGGAGGTATTATAAGTGTTTTAAATTATCCAACATTTAAACTGTTGATGTCACCACTAGAGGTGCTTTAATGAGGTTTGGAGCAACCATATGGGAAGATTTTTACAAAATCGTAAACGGAATTCTTCTGTGTTACTACTAGCCATATGTTAAAGGAGCCAGGCAACATGGATGCGCGAAGGAACTTCCTCTTGGTGAAGTACTAGGAGGCTAAACCTTACTAAGAATTGCGCACATTGTTTCAGATCATATCTATCCCTTTATTGTCTTCACAAAGCAGGGAAAGCAGATTTCCCATTGCTGCAGCATGTATGTTAGTTTAAGGGAGGGAGTGAGAGCTGGGTAGAATTTCAGAAGTAATTGGGCAAGAACTCTAAGAAAATGCTGAGCTAAGCATGACATATGTTAAAAACTATCGGGACTGTTTCTATTACTTTTGACTATGAGTTTTGGAGTAGGCAGTGCAGCAGACAATATGTTCATGTGTGCCTTTCCTTGGGGAGCCAGAAGTATTACCATGTGTGCCTCACCTCACAGTACCGTGCTCTTTAAATGCCAACTTTCTCCCTAGCCTTCCTAAGGGGAGCGCAGTGGCCGGGCCAGTGAGTGAGCGTGGCACTGCGAGGTCGCTGCATGAATTGGATGCAGTGTCGATCCTCAGCATAAGCAGTGCTTCTTTGTAGGTTCTATGCAGCCTGTCATATATTGGCGGTGTCAGCGGATACTCCCTAGTTGTTGTTTTTTAAGAGTTTTAGCACCTGCTGGTTTTGCCCTCATTGTAGGAGCTATTCAGAATGTTTTCAAACATTGCTGATTACATACTGCTACTTTGAGTGGAAACTCAGTGCGCCATGTCACTGGCAAGATGAAGGAGAATTTAGGAATTACTAGAGACTTCCAGATGCAACTCTGTTTTGACTGTTGCTTAGATTGCATTCCTGTGCTCGCCACTGCAGCCCTGAGCCGTTGGACACCACTCACTCAGCCTTCGGGTCTAATTGAACTCTAGCCCCGAGAAAGACCACAGTCGGAAGTTGGTTGCTTTTCTACCTTTGTAGTCTTTATCGAGGGCTTCACAGTTCTGGTTTGTAAGGTATTCTTGTTGTGGTTTGGCCATACAGTAAACATACCTTTGCTTTCAAATAAATAGGTTATGCTCATTGATGCATTGATCTGAAAACAGCCATGTTTTTACATCAGTGGATCAAGTTTATTTTTTCCAAAATTTCTAAAGAAGGCATTTCTACCCAGTCCAGAAGAATAGATCGCAAGATGGAGATATTTGTTGTCCCCATCCACTGTGACATTGGTGGTTATATGCCTGCAATATGTCAGGGTGTTTCCAAATACTTTTCCAGTACTGTATTTCTGTTTTCTCAAAATAAAATGAAAAATAAGGGCATAGTGATCTTTTCTGTGATTTTATAGCCAGGTTATATTAGAAACCTTATGCTGTTTATGTGATTGTGTGTTCAGTGTTTTATAATGTGAGTATAATAACATTATCTGTAGATAATCATAAAGTAATTGGCCATTTTCAGGTCAGTGGAGGGATCTCATGGTGCAGAGACTGGGTTATCAGTCCATCACTATTAGACTGTGTAAGGCTGGAGAGGTGAAGGTGCTTGAGTAAGGACCGCAGGCCGAGTTTTGATTCCCATAGAAAAAGCAGGAATTAATGTCGGGACCAGTAAAAAGGGACAGCAGTCCCAGCTCTCTCTCTCTGTTGGTTTCGATAGTGAAGTGTGTTTGAACGTCTACGCACTCTCTTAAGTGCACAGGTTCTCTAGCTGTCAGTCCAGAGGGCTTCCCTTTGTAAAGAAGGCCCGGCTGGGAGAGGTGGGCTGTCAATTAGTTAAGTTCACGGATGGCAGTGCCCAGGACCCTTATTCTGTTTTTCAACCTAAATTGAGAACCCAGTGCACATGGAAATGGCTTTGGTCCTTTACCCTCCAGTGGAGAAAGAAGTTTGCCAAAGCCATAAAAACGATCATTTCTAAAAGACAGAGCTTTTATTTTCTGATGCCAGTTTGCTCTTTGGATGCCATTTTTTACACTGAGGTGCTATTTTACCTTCACACCAAAATTCACAGCTTTCTGAGGCATAGAGCATAGTTGAGTTTTTGTCCAAAGCTCCTGCTGTTGGCACGGCCGTCAGGAGACGTAGCAGGGGTACATGCTCAGTCATCAGGACAATGTCGTGATTACGTTAATGGAATGTGACTGACATTTTGTGAGTTTTTCTGTCTTCATTAAACTTGTTCACCTTCTCTGAAACCCCTCATGCTGCACACTAGCACGGAGCAGCCGTATCCCTCGACCCAGCATGAGTCAGGGGTGCAGCCGCGATACCAGCCGTGAGAGCAGCCGAGATACAAGCCCTGCTCGGGGCTTCCCTCCACTGGGTGAGTACACGGAGGCGCTGGCTCTCGGAGCATCCTGTCCCTGCTCCAGATGCTGTCCCGGACACTGCCAGGGAATGACCTGCTTTCCCTCCTGCTGTCCTGTGGCCCTTTCTTCTTCCTTTCCTCTTCCTTAGCCACCCTTTGTTGTCCCCCTCTGCATGCTTAAGTTTGGAGCCTTTCCAGTTTTTCAGTATTAGAGGAAAAGCATCACTTCAGTCTGTGCTGTTACTTATGGCCACTTCGCCGGGCAAGCTCATCCGTGTGTTCATTTCTAACATAAGATGAAGCTTAGCCCAAGTTCATTGCTGCTTGAAAGTAGAGCTAATGCAGAGTTTATTCTTACTCATTGAATTTCTACAATTTGTGTTTAATTTTGCCAGAGATTGGGCCATACGTGGTTTAATTCCAAGAAGGAAAAAAATATAAAAACACGATCATGTTTAGGACAGTAAATGTGCTCAGTTTCGGGATGATGACAGTAATTTAAAAAGCAGCATGAATGAGGATACTAGCCATGCTTTTGTTAACGGAGTCATTTCAAAGCTTTTATCCAAGCATTCTGAAAGTAGCTTTTTGATAAATTACTCAGGTATATAGCTCAATGCAAAACTTCCTGATGTTTCTTGTTCATTAGATAGTTTCATGTTTCCTGACCTCAAGAGGCGGTTTAATGTCTGTGGCCTGATGCTGTCCCAGGACAAAAAATTACAATATTTGGTCATGAGGTGGTGTAAGCACCGTGCCCAGGTCACCAGCCAGGCCCCAGCTGGGGCTCTTCATTCCCCATCCCACCCTCAGTTTTTCTTGTATCCAGAATTTGTATTTTAACAGTTTCTAGGCTTCAGGAAAACAAGGGGAAAAATGTATCCATTATAGGATATTTTATTTACCTTTTCTTTTTAGCTTTAATAGTTCTGCCTTTCTCTAATATGGGCATATAAATTACTTTTTTATGTAACGCAAATTATTAATCCCCAAAGTCGTCTGTCAGCACATAAAAGAAATGTTTGTATTCTTCAGTAATTGTGTCTCAGTCCTTTGTCATGTGAAGTGCGGTACAACTGCATGTTTTCCTTTTGATAAGCCGGCAGAAATCGCTTATAAGGAAGGGCCCGAGTGTTACATGGAACTGGGGACGGCAGGGGTCTGTTATTTTCACTCGGAGTCACTGGTCTTTTAAATATAAAAATGTCAAAAGCATAAGGTCTTAGTAGTTGTTTTAGTGCCTTCTAATGTCATACACTGCTTCCCAATATCTTTCCCCCCCAGTCGGTATCAATAATCAAAGTCTAGATATATTCCTTTACGACCCCTTGTCCTTTATGGAGTTCTGAGGAAGAGCAGGTAACAGATGCAGAAGCCCTGCTGGATGGCCCTGGCGACCTGGTGAGGTGCCCGGGAGGAATGCAGTTTGCCTGGTGCGGTCAGCCCTTTCCCAGCAATCTGAGGGACAGATCAGATTTCCCAACCAGTCAAGGGCAGCAGTGGTGGGGCTTTTTCTGAGTGAACTGGTGACTTTTCCTTTTAAGTTAAGAATTTATTTCTGTATATCCTGCTCGCTATTTGACCTTCTAGAACAGCGGTCACCAATCGGTGGTTTGAGGACCACTGGTGGTCCATGAGGTCCGAAAGGTTGGCGACCGCTATTCTAGAAAACTGGTTACATAAGTGAACAAGTCAGTCTGTTTACTGGCCACTTTGTCTCTTAGAGGCAATTCAGTCTTTTTATTCCATACACATCCTGGCACTTTTGTTCTTGTCCATGGACGCAGCCTGTGTAACATCTTGTGGTCTTTGGACCAGGCAGGTTGCACTGCTCTCTTGAGGTCCCAGTCAAACCCCGAGGAGCTGAGTGAGCTAGTCTGTCTTCACTTTCTTTGGCAAAGGGATCTGCTCTGTGTCTGGTGACAGCCCAGGGGGCATAATGCATGTTGCTCCCACTGAGGCAGACGACGTGGGTGCAGCTGTTTCCCTTCCGAATGGGCTCCGGCATCGGCATGTGTCTTCGGTGGTGGTCAGGCAGTAGTACCATCTTTTCAGATGAACTTTTATACCATGCCCGTTGCTTCCCTCCATGGGTTAAATTTGTTTATAAACTTTTGTTACACAGGAACAACAGCGCTCACGTGTACTGGCACCATGCTGAGCCTAATCCCTCATGGTTCCTCGGATAGGTATCACCCTCTGTTATGGATGGCAACACAGGTTCAATCAAGATAAGCCACTTTTTCAAGTCACACAGCTATGCAGAGGTCTGGGTTTGAATCCAGGTCTGATTTCAAAGCTTGGTTGTTACCCTGCCTCAGTTGAAACCAGCACATGTTTCATTTATTCTCTGTAATGTATTAAATGCTGTCTGTGAGGCCTCTGCAGGCTTAGGCAAAGGGAAGAGCTCAGCGGGGCTCTGAATCGAGATTTCCAGGCTTGGGGCTAGGACCTGGGGATTCGTAGATAAGTCCCAGGAGGTTGCTGTCCCCAGGGGAACTTACTACACCCTTCAAAGAATGTGAAGGGTTCTTCTTTTTCTTATCCACTTAAACAATTATTTCCCACCCCCTTTATAAATAAGCGAGATTGTGTGTTAGTGCCCCTTTGTATCAACTCACATGGTCAATTTTCACTTTCCAAAAAGGGTGTGGGGTGAAGGTAATTATGTGACTGTATATTGGCTTTAAGTTTGCATTTTTATAACTAGATTGTTTGGGCCATTTTAATGGTATGAGTATGTATTTATATAGTTATAATGACAAGACTTAAGTGAAATTAAGGGCTCTAGCATTTGTAAATAAGACTTTGAGGTAAATGGTTTCACCTTGGATTCCATTGTCCGGTATTTACTGAGATTGTGACAAAGGATTCATTACACGACAGATTTACTATAAAATATTTTATTGAAATAGAACCAAAGGACACTTTATAAGAAACATTTAGATCATGTATTCCTTAAAAGCTACTTTTAGTTTAAACTATTAAGTGATTCTGATCAACCTGTATAATGAAATGATTATTTGGCTTCAGACTAAAAAAACATTTTGCCATCTTCCTTATTTGAGTAAAGGGACTATTTTGTAATATCTGTTTTAGAGATTGCTGATTTATTTTTGTGCTTCTTGAAGAATTAGGAATTCTTAAGTTTTCTTTTTGTAAGATGATAAAAATGTGTCCTCATTGACCAGGTAGGTAGCCTTTGCTGTTTAATACCACATACACCACCAATATGTGCATTTCATCAAGTGACATGGTCTTTAATGAATAAATTGTACTGGAGATGTTTTGATATTTGATGACAGTGAATGTTGACGTGTGCAGGACACTGCACCCCAGTGTGTGTGAGAAGTAACTCTGCTCAGTATTACTGTTAAACTGAGGGGCTTTCTGGGGTGCAGTCATCATGTTCTTTCCAGAGTAATGGATAGAAGCATATTATCTTGTTTGGTTTTTCTGAGGTAAAGAAAAGCCACATATTGGATGGCACTCTGGTAAAAAAATTCATGTTTGAATCAAGTCTAAATTTCATAATTAATTGTAAAAGTCATTGTCTCCACGAGGACGTAGTTTAGCATGCATTTCCTCCGATTGATGACTTAATATGCTTATTATGAATACTTGCTAATGAAACAATATTTAATGTATAGATGTGCATTGGAATTCACTCTTCACTATTACTGCCACGACCAGCACCACTACGGTGACTTTTAACCACTGTTTGTTCTGTGCCTGGCATTGTGTTTAGTGCTGTATGTATGAGCTCTTAATTCTCTTAACTCCCAAGAGGTAGGTACCGTTATCAGCACCATTTTACAGATGAGGAAACGGAGACACAGAGATGTTAAGTACTTTGCGCGAGGTCTTCCAGATCAAACCAGGATTTTGCCCCCAGTTGGATTACAGAGGCAGTGTTCATACCGTGGTACTGCAAATGCCTCTCCCAGGAAGGCCATTTAAACTTAAAACTAAATTTTCAATAATTAAAAAGTAAATTCATTAATTAGGATAGCCATGCAACAGAACAACAAACGTTTGACTGGGGAGGATGGAAGTCCAGTTGTTGAGCCCTCTTCTTGTGATTCATTCTGTTTGTGTTCAGATGACATTATAAATTCTCTTTTGTTTTTGGTGCATGGTTACATGTGCATCACATACTGATGAGACATCCTGTGGGCTGAGTGAATCCATCCTGCTGTTCGACTCGGATTCAGACGGTGCTGGTGACTCCTGATGTACTTCATGTTGCATATTTCATAATGGCTGATAGAGGCTTCATGGAATAAAGATCCACCTGGAGTCTGAATTCGTTGATCCATAAGGAATGCCTTACAGAGGGCCTTTGAGTGCCTATGTATTTAAGAGCTGCCTGAGAGCCAGCAGCCGTGGAATTTAGGGATTGGCCCTTGCTATCCATTCATATGTAGCACCATTTCTTTTCATGAGAAAACGCGGCCCGTGGCGGCAGTCGCTGCATTTCCTTTGGACTGTGGCGTTCTGTCTCGGTACCTCTGTGTTAATCCTGTGGGTGTCACCATTCCTTTTACCTGCAGCCTCTCGCCGGCATTCCAGGTCCACTAGCGCTCTCTCCACTGCTGACTCTGTCGGGCAGTCAGGTGAACAAGTGCTAACTGCATGCCTCGGCTTCTCCATCTCTTCTAGTTCCGCACTCATTTTACATTCGTTTTCATCAGTGTTGGCTAGCACTTGGCATGTATGCACTTCATCCCTCCCACCCCCCAATGTGCTTGAATTTTTTTAAGTTGTTGAATGTTTATGGTTCTGTTAATAGGCTGTAGATGCTTTATAGCTTGTTTGACAACATTATTTCTCCAGTGTTCGTATTTATGTTAAAACGAAGCAAAGCAAAAGGGGGGGGGGCACTTCTCACCCTCTTTTGCTCCCTCCCCCAGGAAAGCACCCAAACTTTAGGGAGTGGAGTATGAATATTATCCAACAGAGTCTTTCATCTCCCAAGTCTTTACTCCCAATAAAGTGATGATTATTGATGATTATTAATGTTAGTTAGTGTCAAGTTCTAATTTGGAGGTACTATTTAGTTACCAAAGTCGGTCATACGTAAAATTATAAATGGAATGTCCTCACACTTCTATGGAAAAAGAAGATCATGATTCAGATAACATCGTCAGGCCAGTGGTAGCTTTTGCTGCCTTTGGTCCCCAAGCTTTTTTCATCTCGGCCCCTTTTTGACAATACCAAAACTTCACTGGTTAGCCATTGGGGCAAAAGTAAGCATACAATAATATATATATATCAGTTTGCCAGATTTAATTGGCATCATTTTCAGATACTAGAAACCCTAATAACTACAGTATTGAGTAAGACATAATCTTATTAAGTCACAAGTGATAACTGTGACCAATTCACTGAGTTAGATATTTTCTTTGTTCCTCCTCTAAATGAAACCAGGTATGCATTTTTAAAATACATGCTCTCCCATTCCCCTGAAGGTTATGGGCCAGACTGGGTACAGTCATCTGTATCCATCGCTTAGAAATGGAGCTTCATAATAGTATCAGAGCAGCGAGAATGCAGAATAGAGTTTTCTCTGGTTGAAATAAAAGGCTTACAATTCTGCTTAGATCCAAACATTTCCTCTTAAGACTTGGAATTCAGTGATCTCTGATACATATAGAATGAGCTGCAGACACTGTGTGACAAAGCTGTGTGCATTTGGGAAGCAAGATTAATTAATTGCATTGTTCTTTTAGTTTTAATTTTGTGTCTGAAAAATCAGTATTATCCCTTGAGCAAGAACTGCTGGCATGAGATCTAATTCCTTATTTTATTTTATGTAGACTTCGTTTTTAAGTTCATGCTGGTAATTTTTAAATGGCTTTTAACTCAATTACTTTCATTCTGTTATTCATAAATCCCTTACTATCTACCCTTTTTTAATGGGGGAAAAATGAACAAAGATCATTTATGAAACTGTGCAAAATAAATCTCAAATTTATACTCGTTTCATATTTCAACTGGTAATTTATATCTATATAAGTACGTAGATATAATTGTTTTGTGGTTTCTCTATAGTTTATATGGCACATTAAATTGCCTTAAATGTCTAAGGTGACATTCAGTATAATCAGCAAGTGCATTAAAAAAGGGGATAGTATAACATACAATTTTTGTTTCTATATAAAAATTCATGACTGTATAACTTTTTTGATTAGCACTGTTTACATTTTTTTTCTTTCTGTGGTGATGGAAGATGTAATGTTTTGAAACTGGCATTTTAAAAGCGTTAAATAACACTTCACTTTTAAAGTTCACCGGCTTTGTAGGTGATGTTTGTTATATATCTAAAATCTTATTTGTAAGATTTTATATATCACTTTATAGGAAAGATCAATTTATTTAAAACAAACACTAGTTTTCCTTTTATTGTAAATGCTTTATATGGCTAGTAACAGAGATTTTCCTTGTCCAGTATATGTTAATAAAAAGAAAGCATTTTTTATCTTGACATTTCTTCCAAAGCTTTTTTAAAAAATATATCTTAGCATTTTAAATAAGAAACTAGTGTGATATACCTGTGAAGTATAATTTACATGGACCTTCTATTATAGTTTAAATCTCAGTACTTCTTAAGGAAGGCTGGTCAAATGTAATGTAAAGGACTTTAAAAAGCTAGTTTTCATTGTCCATGATCATTAGCAAGCTTAGAATAGTTGTTTGAACTGTAAAATTTGTTTTAAATCTTTTGGATTCTATCCATTTTGTCCACATGTATAAAGACTATCATTTAAAAACCCTTTCAGGGACTCAGGAAAAATGTATACAATATTATCTTAATTATTAATATTTTGCAGTTGCAATGCTAGCTTTTGTGGTGATTATTAAAGAATTTTAATACATTTATTTAAATAACCTTTGGTGATACAGGAATTATGATGAACATATGCTTAAAATTAATTGAGTTTAATTAATAATAGTTAAATAGTATTGACACTGATGAAAATTTGCACAGTGATCAACTGAATACATTTGTTTTAAATTTTGACTATTGCACATTGCATTAGAACTCATTTATCTGCAGCCACAGTAACCTTGAAGCGTCCTAATTAGTTTGACCAAACCTCAGGGCCACTTGACTCTAGAGCAGCCTGTGGGTCGCGACCCCTTTGGGGGTCGAATGACCCTTTCACAGGGGTCACCTAAGACCATCGGAAAACACATATATAATTACATATTGTTTTTATGATTAATCACTATGCTTTAATTATGTTCAATTTGTAACAATGAAATTGGGGGTCACCACAACATGAGGAACTGTATTAAAGGGTCTCGGCATTAGGAAGGTTGAGAACCACTGCTCTAGAGCAAGCATGTCAAACTCAAAGGCTAACACGGGCCAAATAAACAAGGTTTAAGTTTATGTGGGCCTCAAAAAAATAAAAACTTCAATTTTCATAGAAACGTAGGTTTATTTCGATAGAGACATGCTGAATACAAAGGGCTGAAATAAATGAGTAATCGTTAACATAAAATAATAGAACATTTTAATAAAAATTAATACTTTTTCTTGAACATTAACTTACCAGACACTGAATAACTGCACAAATTAATAAGCGTAACACAAATAAACCTATTTTTTTTTTGTTCTCCGAAAATGAAATATTTCCTGTTGTGCCAAATAAGTCAGTCCAAGACTAATGACGTGGCAGTCGGCTGCTAAAATATTTGCTGCTGGTATTAGTGGAGATAAATGGTGCGCCTGGGCATAAGGCACGTAAGGGAAATGAAAGCAACACGATTATAGTAATCAGTCATTAGCGAACATTGTACTTCGTTATTAATAATTATGTATAACAGGATATTGTAAAATTTAAGTTACAAAATTTTTATTAAAACGTTTCTTACATATGTTTATATTGGCTGGGCCACAAAAATATTTGTTGTGGGCCACATGTGGCCCATAGGCCGCGAGTTTGACATGCTTGCTCTAGAGCAGTGGTTCTCAACCTTCCTAATGCCACGACCCTTTAATACAGTTCCTCATGTTGTGGTAACCCACAACCATAAAATTATTTTCGTTGCTACTTCATAACTCTAATTTTGCTACTGTTATGAATCGTAATGTAAATATCTGATATGCAGGATGCATTTTCATTGTTACAAATTGAACATAATTAAAGCATAGTGATTAATTACAAAAACAATATGTAATTATATATGTGTTTTCCGATGGTCTTAGGCGACCCCTGTGAAAGGGTCGTTGGACCCCCAAAGGGGTCGCGACCCACAGGTTGAGAACCGCTGCTCTAGAGGGAATGCTAAACAGATTGAGAGACTCAACCCATAGCTCTGCTCCCTTCTATATAATAAGTTGCTCTCTCCTATATCTCAGCACTTTTCAAAAATAAAATATCATTAAAGAACCATTTCAATTGTCAGGATGCTTTGTGGCACGATGGTACTAACTGCGAACAGTCTACCCTCTGTCACTGGGAAACAAATGTAGCTAAAACTCCAAGTCCAATGTATTTAAATGGGCTGGGCAGTTTCCAGAGCCTCTGTTCTGTAGGTGAGAAGAGGGAGGGATCCTTGCAAAGAAATTGAGAAAATGTGAATTAAAGTGACATATCTTTTGCTTTTGTTTTTTAAATAGACCGGTTTGGGCTTGGCCAGGCAGGAAGAATACCGGGTTCTGTGAATGCCATGCGCGTGTTAAGCACAAGCACAGATCTTGAAGCTGCTGTTGCTGACGCTTTGGTAAGAGTCACAGTGCCTGTCCGTCTCTCTGACTACTCATCCGAATTATTCTGTCTTAACAGAAAAGTGCCTCCAAATCAGGTTACCTTGACACTCTTTAAGTTGGGTAAATTTATATTACTGGTTTAAGTGAAAGGTGGCCTTACAGAAATTATTAGCATCAAGTATTTCTTCTGTGCTCCTCAGTGGCGAGGAAGTTATGATGACATTGGGCTTCTCTGATGTCATTGGGTGTCTTTTTTTTTTTTCTTTTTTTCAGCATCTTTTCCCCATTCTATTGCTTCTATTGCTTTACAAGCTTTGATGGCATAACCTAAAAAAAATTATTATACTAGGTCATAGAGTTTGTGGTTTGAAAATCTGCATTTATTCCATTGCCTCACTAGTTGTTCCATATCACTTTGCTTTTTTGTTTGTTTGTTCTTAAAAATGAGTTTGTAAGTCATTATATATGGAAACTTCCCCCAAGTTTAAGATGAGCCCTTTGAGGCTATCAAGCACGGGTGGAATATGTTTTTGCATCCTTATAATGTAATATCTAAAAAACAATAGGAAGTGCTGAGAGGCCCTTACATTCATGGTTATAGCAAAAAGGTCCTTAATAGAGTCTGCTAGTGGTCAAGGTGCTTTCTAAAGATCCATTTCAGCAAGTAGGGGCACAGCCGCGTGGGTATTTTGTTTGGTGCGCTCAGCATTAAACTAGGTTCTCTTTAGAACTGTCTGACCTCTGGCTGTGCCTTTGCTGTTGGAAGATTTATTCTCCTCTAAGGAAGCATCCACCTTTCAGACCCTGAAGTTTTAATTCAGCCATGTTTTGTGTGATCAAAATGTATGGTTTGTGGCTACAAGTGATTCTGACTTTCTCCTTTCTCTCTCTCTCTCTCTCTCTCTCTCTCTCTCTCTCTCTTTCTCTCTCTCTCTCTCTCTCTCTCTCTCTCTCTCTCTCTCTCTCTCTCGTTTGTTCTTGCTCAGATTTTTTGGCAAGCGGCTGTGAGCAGGCAGCTTGCTGCTCTCATAATGCTTTCCTTTCTGCAGGGCTGCCTGGCCAGCTCCTGCATGAGCTGCTCTGCAGGTGGGCCTTTTCTGGCACACGCAGGAATTGAGGGAGATTGCTCTATCCGGGGCTTTAACTTAAGAGTCAGGAGCTGGAACAGAATTCTGTGACGCTGTTTTTCCTTCCAAGTTGCAATGTTTAGATTCTGTTTCTTTTTTATTCAGAGACCCTAGGCAGTGGAGGTCAGAGGTTGGGAAAGATAGATGTGCCAAATCCTTAGTTAAATGGGACTTCCAGTTAAGGCGGGGGTTTCTTAGTTCTCTGAAGAACTACGGAGGGACTGCACAAAGTTCTAGGAGGCAGAGCAGGCCTGGAGAGTCTGAATCTCGGCTCTCTTTGACTTGGGCTTTTCTCTGAGCTCTAGCTCCATTAACACTCACGTTGCCCTCATTAATTTTGTTTGAACTGCTTGGTTTCTCCGGTGGTCCTGCTTCGGAAGAGAAAGCGCAAAATGGTTCACGATTCTTGCCTCACAGGATAGAAGCTCGGGGCAGACAGAATGTACCACAGCGACAGACCACAGAATTCATGGTGACTTAGGAGATGTCCCTCGGTGTGGGAGAGCTTTAGCAGAGCATTACAGCAAGCACAGGAAGGTCTTGTCAGAAGGCTAGAAGGGTTAGGAAATGCCATTGTGAAAGCATTCTTTATTATTACTCACTTGATCTCACGTGATATGAATCGCTTGCTACTCTGTATTTTTGGTTTGCTAAGATATGTTTTGCTGTACACTTTTGTTGCAAGAATGATCCCCACATATGCTTCTGACATAATTCTCTATGCTTTTTCCCCATCCTTCAATATTTTCCTGCCTACAGCTGTTAGGAGACTCCAGGAGCAAGGTACCAGTGCTTTAACATTTGTTTTACAACTCCATTTTTTCTGTTGCAAGTATATTTCCTTTAGGAGCTAGTGAAAGCAACAAAAACAGTAGTGCAATATAGAAATTCTGGTCTGAATTATGATATTGTTGAATCTGGTGACACTTTTATTAATGGTGGAGTCAGGCAACTCTATTTGTTCTAGTATTTATTTTTAATGTAAAGCTGTGCCTTCTCCCAATAGCGTTTAATTTTATTTTTAAACCCCAGTTATAACTACTCTTATGTCATTATTTCATGATTAGATATACTCAATATTTTTCTTATTTGAGGGATCTAGTGTCTGGATAAGTAAGGTGGCCATACTTTTGAGAGTGAAAGGGGCTTACTAATGAGGCATAGAGCAGCACTGTCCTGAGCAATTTGGGATGTACTAAAAACCACCTTACTAGGAAATTACATCTGTACAGTTTAAGCAAATAACTGTTTTTCTCTTAAATTGTATTTTATAAATTTTATAAATTTTATTTAGCTGTTGCTGTATTATTTATGGGTTTAACTTGTATTCAGGGTAAGAGAAATGCTAATCTACAGGAAGCCTGTTTGTGCTGTAAAACTTTGTCCTTAATAAAAGTGGCTCAGATAATTTAGGAATCCTTGTACATAGATTACTCTGCCACTGTCATTTCCGTTTGAGACTTTAAGGAAGTATGAGTATTCAAACAAATTTACTCATAGACCATGCTCAAGATATATTACTTTTGGTTGGGAAGAGGCTGTGGGTGCACAGCTTGCATTGTGTCAGGTGGCTAAGCCAGGTTATTTAACATACAATTCCATTTATTTATTTGTTATTTTTTAATGTTTTTATTTCACAGAGAGGAAGGGAGAGGGAGAAAGAGAGATAGAAATATCAATGATGAGTGAGAATCATTGATCGGCTGCCTCCTGAACTGGGGATCTAGCCTGCAACCTGGGCATGTGCCCTGACCGGGAATCGAACCTCCTGGTTCATGGGTCGAAGCTCAATCCTTGAGCCACACCAGCCAGGCAACATTTAATCCTTAGAAGAAGCCTGTAAGGGGGGTAATTATTATCTCAAAGATGGGGAAACTAAAGCAGAAAGGGCCGGAGGCTTTCTGCAGTCACACAGCCAGCCAGTGGTGGCAGCAGGATTATAACCCAAGAAGCCCATACAGTGTGCTAGAGACCATGCTCTTTTTCTCTGCTACAGGTGCTCTGCTTATAACTCTCTATGTCTTCCAGAAATCTGCCTTCCTGTTTTCACTCCCTAATCTGTAAACACAGGCAGGTGTGGTGCCCTGCATCTGCATGTGCATCTTTTGACATGCAACTCTTTGTTGGTGGTGGATTTGTTTGGGATGACTCACGGTCATTTCATCTTTCCACTTCTTTCTCCATCACCCCCATCCCTCTTCGGACCTGGCAGAAGAAGCCTGTGAGGAGGAGATATGAGCCCTATGGGATGTATTCTGACGATGATGCCAACAGTGATGCCTCGAGTGTTTGCTCTGAGCGCTCGTATGGCTCCAGGAACGGCGGCATTCCCCATTACCTGCGGCAGACCGAGGATGTGGCAGAAGTTCTCAACCACTGTGCCAGCTCAAACTGGTCAGAGAGGAAAGAAGGGCTTCTGGGTCTGCAGAACTTACTGAAGAGCCAGAGAACACTGAGGTGAGGGCAGTGGCTCGGTGAGCTGCTTCGAGTCCATACTGTCCGCATCAGGGGTGTGGTGGGGTTCTGACGTTTGTGGAGCCCCTACGGAGTTCCAGCACCAAAGGTGCTGAGGTGACCGAGACCTAGTCTTTGCGTTCCAGAGATTTTGAAATATCTGGCAAGTTCTCTGTAGTTTATTAGATTTATAAAAACATCTGGTTCCCTGATGGCTCACATTTGGCTGGGAGCTATTATTTGAGAAATCGTGGTGCAGGTTGCAATTTAGGTGAAAACCAAAACTGGGAACTGTCACTCATAGTTGATAGGGAAAGAAAATGGCACAGCTGCTTTGGAAAAAGAAAAGAAAATAAAACTCTGCAGGTTGGTGTGGTTCATTACACTTTAGGGTTGTGGGTAAGATGATAGCAGTCTCAGTCTAAAAAATTTTAATACACATGCGTATATGTAGCTTATAAATACTAAACTGATCCTGAATTGATTTACTAAATTGGACTACTAATAGTAACAGTATTTAATATTTTCGCTTTTTTTCTTTATGTTCCTGTATTTCATAAATTTTCTAACATGAGCAGGTATTACACACATACCAAAAAAGTATGTTTTTATACCATATTTTACCAAATCTAAGGCACCATAGACAAACCATCTACACTAATAAAAGAGAAACATGCAAATTGGTGTCACTCCGCTACCCTTCCCATTGGCTAATCAGCATATCCTTATGCAAATTAACTGTCAGCCGAGATGGCGGCCGGCAGCCATGCACTGAAGCGAACAGGGAGGCTTGCTTGCTCCAGTGATGGCGAACTCCAATGTTCCCCGCCTGAATTGCCGGCCTCTCAGCTGCAACTCTAAGCAACTATGTTGCAAATATAGAAGCTAAACAAAACCCCAGAAACCGGCTTTCAGTCAGCCGGGCTTCAGCCAGCTGGACCGCAACATTGTATCAAATACAGAAGGTAAAGGCCAGAAACCTGCTTTCAGCAGCGAGGCCTCAGAGCTAAAGCTGGCCCAGAATAGAAAAAGAAAAAAGAAAAAAAGGAGCAGTTGGGAGCTTCAGTCACCCCGCCAGCCTGAAAACAGCCCTACAGCCCCTCACCCAGACTGGGCCAGGCAACCCCCAGTGGGG